TTAAACATGATTTTAATTTGGATAACGTAAAAATTCTTAAACAGTTAACGGATAAAGATGAATTAAATATAAGAGAATCGTTAGAAATTGGTAAAAACAAAAGAAATTGAAATAGAGATTTAGGCCCAGTAGCCACCGAAATAAATGTTTGGAAATTATTGTTGTAAATGGCGCCATTGTACTCGTGTGCTAATTATACACGTACCTCAGGTTTATAAACATTGTTATGTGTACTTCTTGATGGATTCTCCTGAAGATGGTGGAATTATTTACACCGAAACATGTAGAGTTTTAAGTTTCTTTTAACTTGTATATATTTAATTTTTTAACTTTACAAATAAATGTTTGTGCAAGTAAAAAACGTTGATCTTCGGTTTATTATTTTATTTAACATATTTGCACAAGAACTGTCAGTTTTTACGTATTGAATGAATTTGTACCCGAAACAAGACCAATTCAAGACCTATTATCAACAGAATAAAAAATATAAAAATTCGTTCTTCAAAACTTTATTCTTTCAGTGATGTTATAGATGCTCTGGAAAGCGATATTTAATGTTCATTTCACTTATTAGATCCACTCATCCATATTCAATCAGTTCTTATAATTTTAATTACAAGTTTGTGCAGCCAATCTTTTATTTTAGAGTACGCAAGGTAAATTGTATAGATAATGGTTTTGTTTTATTACACATACAGCTGCAGTCAGTGGCTTCAAGTGTCTCAACGACCCATTGTAAGTATATTTAAGTATGCACCGGAAGCGGAAGTGTACTATATAAGAGATTTATGGGCGAGAGGGGCTTATCTGTTTGGCTGGCTTACTGCAAGGCGTATCAGCTCATAAACAGATTCACAGCGAGAAAGAAATGTTTTTCAGCTCATTTCACGTTCAGTTTTATGTTAGGCTTTTATTATATTGAACAGCATATTCGGAGTGATACAAAACATATTAAATTTTATGTGCAATTCTTTGGTTATGTTACACAGCCTGTGCACTGTAAACTGTTTAGTACATTATTTATGTTTCCTGTGTAACAAGTATGTTGTTCCCTCCAAAAGAAGCAAAACTTTCTGGAGTCTGTTAAGGTTCTATGTATTTCAATAAATTTGTTCGTGTATGTAGATAAGTCACTCGAAATATGTTCACTTGATGCTATTTTAGTACTCTCTTTGCACCCAGTTTTTATTCATTATTTTTAAGCCTTAGCTTCTAGTTATCTTTTCACTCAGTCTTTTCTTTTGGTCTTATGTGATTTTGAACACTATGTCTCCACTTCTTTGATCTTCTCCTTCTTTGGTCATTTAGTGGATATTCTGACCTTTAAGTTTTTGAGCTTTATTTGCACCACTTTTTTTTTAATTGATTTTTGCTTTTGGTTTTTGACTCTGCCATTCTGACCAATTAGTGTTTACTTTAGTTTGTGGTTGCCATTCTGACCAATTAGTGTTTACTTTAGTTTGTGGTTCTGTTATTATGTTCACCTTTGATTCTACTACTTTATTCTAGTCTTTAATCTGGTGATTTAGGGTTTATTTTGGTCTTTGACTCTGTTTGTTGACCCATGTTTCCACCACTTTGGCCATCTAATGTTTATTTTAGTCTTTGATTATTATTATTTATTTATTTTTTTACATTTAGGTTCTGACTCTCTGGCCATCTAGCGTTTATTTTGATATTTGATTCTGTCATAAAGTTGTCCTTTCGTTTTTCCACCATACCATTTAGTGTTTATTTTGATATTTGATTGTATCACTATAATTTGACCTCTGATTCTGCCGTTGTGACCGGTGGGTATCTATTTTGATTCTGTCTACCAGTTTTTTCCACCAGTTCCCTTCTTGCTGATTGGATACTCAATACATTTTACCATGCTTAGGGTTAATGCAGAGGCAAAATAAGGTTCACACACACACATTTGTGCCTAAAAATTTAATGAAAAAATTTACTCCAAAACACATAAAAATTATTACCTCATAACATTTTCTGAGTTCTTATTCGTATGGTTGTTATGAAATTAAAATACCCCTTTTTTATATAATCATGCATAATTTAAATTTAGAGAAGCTTGCACAGTTCGACGCTATACTGGATTTCACTTACAAGAAATCCTATATATATATAACACCCTGTTACTTTTGACTGTATGCTTGTTTGTTTTGAATTTCGCGCAAAGCTATACGAGGGCTATCTGCGCTAGCCGTCCCTAATTTAGCAGTGTAAGACTAGAGGGAAGGCAGCTAGTCATCACCACCCACCGCCAACTCTTGGGCTACTCTTTTACCAACGAATAGTGGGATTGACCGTCACATTATAACGCCCCCACAGCTGAAAGGGCGAGCATGTTTGGTATGACGGGGATTCGAACCCGCGACCCTCAAATTGCCAGTCGAGTGCCCTAACCACCTGGCCATGACGGGCTTACTGTATGCACATAATACAATTGTTGGGCGTATGAACACCAGCAAACTTTCCCGTATTTCTTTGAATTATTTTGAAGCCCCAATAATATTTGTAGCAAGGTATGAATGCTCTATTTGCAAACAGTATAACATAAGATATTAAAACTAGGACTGGATGGTGTGAATTTTCTATGGATAAGACAGGTCAACCATTGCATGGATAATTTTTGCTTAATTTCTTATCATTGTTTTATTTAAATGCTACTAAAGCTTCAGTCTTTTGTTTTTTTAAATTGGGCCATGTATGGCGTAATGGTTAGCATGTCAGACTGCATATCAAGTGGTCCAGGGTTCGAGAAGTAGTGCCGCTGAACACATTTCACACTTTAAGTTGTGAGCCTGTTGCAGAAGTGACAGTAAATCCTGTTATTCAATTCAAAGAACCGAACAGAGTCTTTGTGGCGGCGGCTGTTCCTGGCTGGCTTGCTTCTACACAGTCATTAGTTCACAATTAGCGACGACAATACATGAATCCTTGTGGTCTCTGACCGAGCGTTTTTGCTTTTTTTTATATTTCCTGGACAGAAATCGACCAATCACAGAGCTGCATTCTAACAAGCATAAAGTTTTGTGTGTTTGTTTGAAGTCAAGCACAAAGCTACACAATGGGCTATTTGTGTTCTGCCTACCATGGGTATCGAAACCCGGTTTCTAGCATTGTAAGTCCGCCGTGCCACTGGGAGGGGGGGGGGACATAAAGTTGTGAAATAACTCTACGTATCGTCTTGGTACAGAGTATCATATGAAAAATAAATAACACGAAAGACCAACATTCAAAACACGTTGGTGTTCCTATGTTGTTGTTTTTTGTTTTTCTCGATATATTATTATTTTATCGATTGATAATTCGATCATGTAAAAAATAAACAGGTAATTAATTTACAAAGTGATGATGATGAGATCTCATTTAATTAAGTATTTACTCTCAGTATATAGTAATGAATTATTTACTATAAACGTGTGTGGTCGACTTATAAGGCTGTACTAATGAATCTTACGCCTAATGAATTTAATGTCATTATTTGACACTATGATTGTTACACGCCTATTGTCTAAGAAATGCAGCTTTCTGCATTTGTTGGAATGCAGCTCTGTGATTGGTCATTTTTCGTTTAGCCCATGGGTGTTGTTCAAGTTGAATATTCCAATTATTTCAGTGATTTGTAACTAAACTGAATGACACGCGAAACCTCATTTGATTTAACTTTTAACATTTTACTGTGAATATTTATAGGGGTAGTTTTATCAGTGCCCGCGCTAGGCACGTAGTTTACGTATCGGACTAGCAGCATTCAGAAGATCACGAGGTCGATACACACGATGCTACAAACACGCCTCGAACTATCAGTTGTGGGCGCGTTATAAAAGTGACAGTCAGTCCCACTGTTATCGGTAGCAGCTTCAGGCGATGGGGTGTTGAGCTTGTTTCCTGCCCTACGGTACGCATTTCAAAATTAACGACGGCTGTGTCTGAACCACAGAGGATGTCAGTCCTGGCTGTTGAGCACGTTGTGTAAATAAGGTGTCGTTCATGTGAGTGAGTAAACAAGTCTGATTCGCAAACAGAATTTCAAGAAACTTTCCCTCAGCGTTTATTGAATGTAAAAACCTTCCAGTTTTATCTAACTTCTCATGAAATATAGTTATTGAAATCGTTAATCCTTTGAAAATATTTTTAAAATGCCCTGAATATTATTTTAAGGAATAATGCTTATAAGATGATTATGGTTGTTGTCGTTTTTTTGGAGTAAACTGAAACGTCTTCGCACGATGTTCATTACAAACCATGTTTCAATTCAAAAAGAAATTTTACCTTTCAGTATATATTTTTTGTTTTAGACGACGAATAAAAACAGTACAATAAACATTTTCTAAATACATATTAAAAATTTCCCTGTTTCCCAGTAGGTCAGCGGTAAGTTGACATACTTAAACCGTTAAAATCCGGAATTTGATCCCCCCCCCCCCCCAGTGGCACAGCGGTATGTCTACGGACTTACAGCGTTAGAAATCGGGTTTCGATTCCCCGTGGTGGACAGAGCACAGGTAGCCCATTGTGTAGCTTTGTGCTTAATTACGAACAAACCTCGATTCCACGAGCAAGTAACCTATCATGTAGATTCGAGCTGAAACAAAGTTGCATATCATATAGTTTCGCGCTGAAACAAAGAAACTTAGCACTATCTACGCAACGAAACGAACTTTAAAAATAACTTTTTCGGCCTTTTTTTATTTTCGGCAATAGCTAAAATACCGAAGGAAAACTAATGTGGAAAATAAAAGCACTTTAATACAAAACAAACTCAAAATTAAAAGAATTTAAATCGAAAGTTTCATTTTTATTAGGTTAAAAATGGGTGTGGATGTATGTGTATTTAAATACTTAGTACTCTGTCAAGGCTAATAGCACACAGCTTACAAGCAGTAAGGAAAACCGATTTTTTCTTTGTAGCCATTAAACTCAGCTTTACCATACAACGTGTTTGAGCATGCAGCGCGTTAGTTTTACCGCTGTCTGTAGAACAATACACTACTTACTGAAATTTGGTGTACTTGAAACTGACATCCTTCTTACGAAAGCTCAACTAGAGTCGATGGTACAGCTGAGGACAGAAAGAATTCACTAAATCGAAGGTAAACTAAAAGCTTATGAAAAAACTTTTCCTCCCCGACTGTTCCTAAGTGAAGTGAATTATCATGATAGTCTTCGATCGAGTTCTCCTGAGTATAAACCTTAAGAATTAGTGGAACTTCTCAAAACCTTGGACTATAAACTTAATGTTTTATGACGTAGTCAAAGGTCAAGATCGTTATACCGAATCACTGATTGCATTTTTACAATTAGAGTGGCAATTTACGCCTGTTTTAATATATTGGAATTTCTGGCCAAGGTATTACGGAACTCAGGAGAAATAAATATGGAGATATGTTTCTTGGCCAATTTCTATTTCATACCTTATTCTTTTCAGTTCAGACATCCTTTCGTTTTAGAATCTTTATCTTTTATGTGATGAATCATTATTAACTGAATTCTACTTGAGGAATTCGTATAAACATTTATTAGAGGGTAGGACGAATTGATGTTGCCTCTGTTATAAGAATGGGACCCTGTCTCCTTCTTCCGACACCCTTCAATTGTCTGCCTACTTCGTCCCAGTTTACTTCTGTTATTCTGCACTATTTCATATACACCTCACTGCATATTCTTCACTATGTATAACGGAAATGAACTACCAATATTCCTAATGTTGCTGAAGAGGAACTATCCCCCTGAACGTCCATGTTTTTCAACCAAATACTTTTAATGTTAAAGAGAAAAAGATTAGATGATAACAAATGCGATCGCGCCAAAGCTCCGTTCTTGAGCTAATCCTACCAATCCAGACACTCGGTGTCATCTAAACTATAGCTGCCCAACAGCTCCTAGAAAGATCGCCTACAAAAGCCAGCCTCCTGGGGTTATGACGTCACCAGAGACCAGAGAGAGAGACACGTGATATCCCATTTTCCCGCCGCATGGATGTTGTTTCACGTAATAATTATTGTGTTTTTTTTGTGGCTAAACTTTAGTTCTTCTAATAACGTATAGAAATTGTTGGCATTCAATCAGAAATGAAGGCAAAGAAATATCTTTAAAATTAAAAGTCGAATTTCTTGTTCCATAGTAAACTGCGTCTATAGTCTTTTGTTTCAGCTTTTCTTGTTTTTCACCGCCACTTATTCGTCACACACACACCAAAGGTTTATTTAAAGTATATACGCCGTGATATAGGTTTTAGTATTCAGCGTGAGATAAAATAATATTTCTGTGGCTTATATGTAACCCTAAAACAAATATATATATATAAGATATATGTGTGGTTACTTAATTTATTTCACGGTTTAACTGAGAATTTTCTTCTTATTATTATTATTTTTTTTATACTCACACTTACAATATGCAATGAATATGTTGTGTAAATTTGATTATGGGAAAGTAAGTTACATTAAGTGATCTATCTTGTCTTGCTGTGAGTACCAGGATAAACCGCGAGACACGCTTTGTTTGCTTTGTTATAGTGGATGTCAATATAACGATAACTATTCGCGTGGACGTCTTTTTTCATACACACCAATCACTTTCAGAAACGTCCCCCCTTTCAACGACAGATTATAGGTTGATGGCACATTCCGCTAAGTATTGGCCTTGTTTCTCAAAACTATTGTTCTAAACTGATTTGTTATGTAGCACAACGTATTGTTCCCTAGAAACAGTTTCTCCTATCCTATGTTACTCGCTCTGCTCTCAAAAACCGAGTGTATAATTAATGAACGTGTTTGAAGCTTCTATATATATATATATATATATATACAAACACTATTGATTTATGTGTGTCGAGGTTGACATCGTCCAGCTCTATGCAGGTGCTTATACTTTACAGTCACTATTGGAACATATAGTAGCTGTTCTACACGAGGAATTAAGAGTACATTTATATCAGCCTCAATCCACGTCCATCTATTTATCTCGCTTGTTATCTTTGTTGTTATCTATCCTATTTATCTTTCCATTCTTGTATGTAGCTATTAAATATTAATTTATCCATCTATTTTATATATATATTATTTTATTCATACAATTTACTTTTACAGGAGACATACCGCGCACGTGATTGATCTGACAACCATGCAAGTACATAAAACGTGCAGTTATTTTTGATCAATTCTTCACTCAGTACAATGTATCAGAAACCACACACACACACACACAATAAAAGTTTGTTTTTTATTAATTTAAAAATTCGCTAAGACTTTGTTATATGATCAGCAGATCGAGAGATTGAATGTTTTAAGAATGGATCGATGTCGTAACCTCTTAGATAAAAAACAAACAAAAAACATTGGCCATTTTAAAAGAAGAAAACATGCGTATGCTTAACTAATCAAGACGTCTTCTTCCAAAAGAAGATATTTCGTCCTTAATCCCCGAGGTAGTCACGTTATACATCAATATTTACGTAGCACACACCATGTGTTCTGATATGTATAAACACATGTATATATTTATATAGGATGACAGACTAGAAACAGTCTAGTCATAGTTTTTATACCTGATAGCTTTCTTCAGTGAAATGTTAACGTTTCAGCTGTTGGTAGCTAAATTAACCAACATTTGATAAATAAAATAAGATCCACGAATGTATTCCATGGCTTATCCATCTTCGGAGGATCTCTGGGTTATTATTTACATGTTTCGAGCCATATCCAATCACCTTTCCAAAGCTTTATGCGTATCGTTATTTTACACAGTAGATTAAAGTTTGGGGAGGAGTAGGAGGAGGGGAACTGTTAATCTCACCACCGATCATGAAGATAATATATATATATGTATATAAACGATATTTCTAAGATTATTGTTTAGTTTAATGTCAACGCTTTCTGAAATGGCTCTTAGCGGCCAATAAGTGAATTAATTTAGAGGTTAAATTTTGTAGAGAAAAATAGATTAATGTATTTTTTTTATGTAAGTTATAGTTGTCACTTTCCCACTATTGTGTTCGTGCTGCATCGTGGAAAACAGTTTGGAAGTAATATGCGACTTGACTTATTGGTTTACTGATAATACTGGATAAACTTCCCAACGTTATTGTATAACTTACGGTACTTACTTTTTGAAGGACATAAAGAAATTCCGACTGTAGTTACTGTTTAACTACGTTCAGGGACCGTATTGATATATATATATGTTGATAGCGGGATGAACACCATTAAAATAACTTTGTCGTAAACCCAGTTACCCATAAGTTATAATGGTATCGCCCAATAGAGGGCACAGCAGCTGAAGCAGGGAGAGTCTTTGTTCGAAACTACTCCGTGTAAGGAAGGTAAGGCGGTTAGAGGAGGTGGGATCGTCTATAACGTGTGTCTGTGAACTTCAATCATTACCTTCGTAAGGGGGAGCACAAAGCACGTTAGTGGCCTCCTGATACTGAAAGTTATTTACACACGACATAATATTTCGGCGTAAATCGTGTTCAGATTTGAACCACCAAATTTTGCTTATATGCACCAACAGCGACAGAGAGAGAAGTGAGTCTGTAATCTAACTGAATGATCTGTTCCCCGCCAAAGTTCTTTGGGGTTTTCTTGACTGAGGTTTACGTGAAATACAACTCTCCTCACTTCTAAGGTAGCTTGCAGTAACTTCATACGTACGGGGTTAAGGTCGAGAGGCATTTGGCCACCCAGATCTAAGAAAGAAATTGAAATGGTAAGTGACGTACGTGTCCTCTTTACCTTAAAGAAACGCTCATTTGATCATTGAGATGAAATGAATTTGTTTGAAAATAAGCACTTAATTAGTTTAGTATTATTACCGTGTTTTGATAATTACATGTTTATGAAGTTAAATAAATATTTACTACAATAGAATATCTAGAAATGAACCGTCATGCATGTCATACGCGTCAGAATTTACCAAGCATAAGAATAAGAGAGAACGATATATATATATAGAACCTTATGGCTTACGACCCCCTATATAATATATTACATTTCTTGTATTTTTTGCTACTTTCGGTTTAGCTAACTAGACTTCAATTACAGCACACACGTCCCTTATATAAATTGTATGAGTAACCAGTTAAAATTTCTCGGAACGGATCTTGTCATCTCACCATGATTTAATATTTAAAGCTGTGGTATTCTTTAAAAAAAAACAAGCACGTGTAGAGAGTTTCATTTAAACTGGAGTTTGATGAAAAGTTGAGTTGCATTTTCTAGTTTCCGGTATTTAACTATTTGGAGTGTTTCTGTTTGACTTAAAAATCATATATACACTGCGAATACTGTTCCGGTATTTAACTATTTGGAATGTTTCTGTTTGACTTAAAAATCATATATACACTGCGAATACTGTTCCGGTATTTAACTATTTGGAGTGTTTCTGTTTGACTTATAAATCATATATACACTGCGAATAGTGACAGCAAACTTTTGTTTCGTAAGCTGTAGTTCAGGGATTCCCAACATTTTTTTGTTCCTCTGTACCCCCTTGGCCTTGGGCATTCTGACATGTTCCCATGTACCCCTAACAATTAAGGATCAAAAATTGGTAAAATTATATTGATTTTATTATGATATCTGTATGTGTGGACTGCATAAGGATCTTATAGTATTGATAACATCGATAAATTGAACTCGGGGGTATATTTATGTGAACCCCTTTGTCTGACTGTAGATTAAGACACCATGTAAAGTGTAAACCATGGTAATACTCTCAGACCCATTGAGAAGTGCAAATGTACCCCTGGGGGTACATGCACCCCAGGTTGGGAATGTCTGCTCTACTTAGTCATTAGTTTACACACCCCTTAATCTTCGTAACAACTGTCCATGTGGTTGGGTTAGTTCTGGAAATTCAATATTTGAATCGTTGGATTTCACTTCTTATGTTTACGCAAATTAATCGCTTTATAAAAGGCGCCTCGTGGCCGCGTTACAATATCAATGGATTGTATCATGTAACACATAGTCGTACTATATATGTATAGTAAGCATTTAATTACGAGTTAATCTGACAAAACTAATTCGTATTATTATTATTATTATAGTGATTTTCTTTTTACCTTTATTTTTTGCACGTTTCACGGATGAATTTGTTTCCACTACACAGCTTCTATGTGTGTGTGTGTTTGTGAGCATGCGTCATAAGGAAGAAGAACAACAACACATGAACCCCCCATTCTCCATCTTTCGGAACAGGTTCAGCTGCTGGGATAAAATGAAATAAAAAAGATAAAAAGAACAATTCCCCACAAAGTGTAGACATCGTTTAAATTGTTACTTGTGAACTCTGTTGCTAACGCCACTAATTTTATTATTTACATATCATAATCTATGTATAATATACGGTCACAGCACGGATAGCTCACTGTGCAGCTTTGCGCTTAAAGGCAAAACAAACAAAGACTATGATATGATCCAACCATTTATTACATGCCATCTTGGGTTTCGACATTGCTTCCTTTCAAACACATTGTTAACTGCATAGAATAGAAAAACAGAGCGTATTGATTTGTATATATATATCTTTTTTTTACGTTTTGTCTTTTTAATGTTGATGTTAAAGAGCTTTTATCGTGCAAACGTTTCTTTAATTCGATTAACAATGGCTTTTTTTTTGTTCATTTTGAAAGGCTTGTGTCACCATTTGAAAGACTTCTTTTATTTGACTAAACATTTTTTTTTGTATTTTTGGCTTAAGATAAGGAGTATAGTATAACGTTACAGTAAGCTGTAGTTCTTCAACTACATAACCTTGACTTCAGTTAAAAATAGTCTGATTAAAGATATTGATTTTTAAAAATTAGACGTTCGCACAAAGTGATATTTCAATGACTTTCTATCATTCCGTATAGAAAACACACACAAAATCTATTCAACGTGAAGACTTTCTATGGACGCTTTTCGCGATAGTTAAATGTTATTGTGACTTAAAAATGATAATTCTCATCTTTCCGTTCGCAAACACAATCTATTAGCACTCTACGTTTTGAAATTATAGCTTACATAATAAGGAGTTTTCACCAAGGCCTACATTACATTCTGAGGAAATATTTGCTAAAATCGTTCTCTAACTAATACTAAACATCTTCACAGCAACACCATAACTATAAATAGTTCATCATACTTAAAATAACGAAGATTTATAATCGCGCAGTTTAACGTCGAGATAAGTGAACAGGGAAATCCGCCACGTGGCAGCATTGCTGCGCGTGTTTGAAATTGCGATCAAATGAAAGAAAGCGATTTACAAATCGAAATAGGCACAGTTAAGGATTTTTACAACTAAGCAAAATATTATGCGGTATTGTTATTCATTTCGTAAATAACAATTGTGATATGTAACATTTTCAGTTCAATTGTATAACTCGCGTAGTCCCCACCCCAGTGGCACAGCGGTATGTCTGCGGATTTACAACGTTAGAATCCGGGTTTCGATACCCATGGTGGGCAGAGCACAGATAGCCCATTGTATAGGTTTGTGCCTAATTACAAACAAACAAAGAAATAACTCGCGTAAACCCTAAATTGTAGCTTCAATACACATTGTACAACTTAAATGTCACACCAACCTGATAACGGAGTTTATACCCGAAAGTACGAGCTTCCACATCGTACAAGTTTCCCCCGTGGTAGCACAGCTAGAAATCGGGTTTCGATACCCGTGGTGGGCAGGGCACAGGTAGCTCAATGTGTATCTTTAAGCTTAACTTCATACATACAAGTTTAACATGTGACCAACAGTCATTTATATTCCACATATTGAACTCTTTTTTTTTTTCAATATATGATTTGTTTACGTTAATTAGAATCTAGCTTACATGTTTCATTCGCTCCTAATTTTGTTCAACGCTTTTGCCAAATACAGAGATTTTAACGGAGAGCTAAGAAGTTTTGTTAGTAGTTTTGATACTAACGTCTTGAACATGCATTATTATTTCCTTCTAACTCCTTACGACGCTCTTCATTTCCCAGTAAATAAACATATATCCAGTGGTTTAACTACTAAATGGACTCTCTTACTTGTTAAAGGTCTTAAGCTTTCGGTTTGTTTGCTTCCTCGACACAGAGGAAGAAGTGTGTGTCACTTTCATTTCAACCTATTAAATTCTTTGGTAAACTCGCACCAGTAACAGTTCATTATAGGGAGTGCCATGCTGAAGTACAAATTACGAGCGCATCTGTGTTGAAAACGATTCATTTCCTCGTGACAGCTTTTTCTTTATATTATTTTTCTTGTTTACCAGGGACACTGTGTATTTGAAACGGAAATTGCGTGTTTTAACAACGTGTGTCTTTACTACATAATTGTAAAACCTGCAGCTATGACCTAATTATAATTGAAAATGATTGCTATTTAATGCGATTTGAGCACAAAGAAAAAGCTGCTATTGGTATTGACGAGGCTGCAGCTGTAACAGACAAATACTGTTTTAATGTTTCGTCTATCTATTCTAGAACTTACTGAAAACAAGAGGGTCATCGGTTTACTAACACGATCATTTGAAATTTTGGTTTTAGTGAACGCTCCTGAAGAAGCTGTAAAGCGAAACGTTAAGTGTCTAATTAAATAAGAACAACATTTTGGTGTTATAAGGTCGGTTATTTCTAGTATTACATACTTCTTTTCAGTTTTAAACATGGTGTAATCAGAGGTCGGTGCCTCGTTAGTTAAAAGCGGTATTTTCTACCAGTTCTACAAGTGCCTGGAATACATTTTAACCCCGTGTCATTTGACTTCGCCTGACAACCTTTTCGAAATACACACACACCTACAGAGTACGTGTAACAGTCACTTCATAAGTGTCCTTATTCGCAGATAACTCTGTGATATAAGTGAAGAAACTTTACGTAGGTTCATATAGAAGACAGATCGTACTTCCTTATAAAGGAAACTTTTAACATGAATGATAATTCAAATACATTTGGTGTATTTGTTGGTAGAACATGAAACGTGTGTTCGCAAAAACCGAACACTAGCAAAATTAAATACCTTATACGTGTAAATACTAAACACCTAATAGCAAAACCGAAACCAAATCAAAATATACAGAAGTATGTTCACAAAAACCGAACACAAGCAAAAGATGTAATAGCAAAACCGAAACCAAATCAAAATATACAAAAGTATGTTCACAAAAACCGAACACAAGCAAAAGATGTAATAGCAAAACCGAAACCAAATCAAAATATACAAAAGTATGTTCACAAAAACCGAACACAAGCAAAAGATGTAATAGCAAAACCGAAACCAAATCAAAATATACAAAAAGTGTGTGTGTGTGTGTTTCGGAAAAGGAAGATAACTGAGTTTTCATTAAATTCAAAAAGTATTAAAACTAGTGGGAATTAGTGTTACTGATCGATAACAGCAAAACCGCTTTTACTGACTAAAGCTCTCTTTTTAGTCTCGTGCAGTAGCGAAGTTTCACGAATATGAACTAATCAAAGTGCGTATAGAAACAATATCAGGTTTACGTTGATAAGGTGTAATCAGTAGCAACTCTTCCATTGATGAGAACGATGTTTATGTTTAACTCGGACACGTTATCCTTTAAGAATTACTGAACGTAACCTATATTGAATGAGGCTGATGAACACACGCAAGGATGGTAAATTACTTACGTATTTGATAAACTGAAAATATTGGTTTTAAGGAACAGTAATGAACCTTTGATGAATCCCCCCCCCCTATTTTTTTAATAC